TGTAGTTGAGTACTGCTTTCCAAGTTCGGAAGAAAAGTGATGTCCAGCTAACCTCTCAGTTAAGTGTGAAAGGAAAACAAAGGCATTTTCAGATAATTAAAGTGTCAAAACATTTACTGCCCTGTACCCTTTATCAGAAAGCTACAAAGGGAGGGAGGGTGGGAGGGAGGGAAAGAGAAAGAGGGAGGGGGAGAGGGAGATAGAGGGAGAGGGCAAAGGAGAGGGAGGAGAGGAGAGGAGAGGGGAGGGGAGGGGAGGGGAGGAGAGGAGAGGAAATGCAAGATCCAAGGCAAAGGTGAAATCAATCTGAGATGATTGGGAAGAGATCCCAGAAGGTAGCATGCAACATGTTCAAAGTAAAAGTCTATCCTTATTTGAGCCAATTGGAAGGCTCCAAGGGAAATCTGACTAAGAAAATGAAATGTGTATTTTATCACCTCTGCATGTTTTGGGGGAAGATATAGACAACTGGTAGAGTCTTGGTGTTCAGTTGGTGCTATATTCACAGGAAATTAAGCACAATTACATCATGGGGGAAGCCAATAAAAATGTTCAAAAACAAAAAGTCACATGACATATTTAAAACCCAAAGCTTAATCACTGACAATGTTTTATTAGTTCAACTGTAGAATAAAATGACTATAGTCACAACTGGTTGTCAGTGGCCTACACCTGTAATCCTAACTACTTAGGAGGCTGAGATCTTAGGATCTCAATTTAAAGCCAGTGGAGGCAGGAAAGTCCATAAGACTCCAGTTAACCACCAAAATCCGAAGTGATGCTGTGGATCAAGTGGTAGAGTGCCAGCCTTGAGTAAAAAAACTCAGAGACTCTGCCTCAGTCCTAAGTTTAAGCCCCAGTATGGATATGCGCGTGCGCACGCACGCACACCCACCCACAGATTTTAGTCAACATAAAAAATGATGGTGTTAATGATCAGGCAACTTACACTGTGTCATTTTGATAATTATTTTACAGGTGAATTATTTAGATGGCTAATGAATGCTATATTTTACATGTCAAGAACATTGGAAAGTGGGCTGGGAAGGTGGCTCAGTGGTAGAGCGCTTGCCTTGCATGCTCGAGGCCCTGCGTTTGATTCTTCAGCACCACATAAGCAAAAAGAAAAAAGCAGGAAGTGGAGCTGTGGCTCAAGTGGTAGAGCGCTAGCCTTGAGCTGAAGATATGAGGGACAGTGCCCAGGCCCAGAGTTCAGGCCCCACGACCGGACCCCCCCCAAAAAAAAAGAACATTGGAAAGTGATAAAAGGTCCTTTTCTTGATCTGGGTTCAATTTCCAGTATTACAAAAGGAAGGAAGGAAGGAAAGAAGGAAGGAAAAAAGAGAGGGAGAAGGAAAGGAAATATATAGCCACAAATATTTTATACATAAATATTACAATAGCTTTAAGCTTTATTCATAAAGCCCCAAACTGGAAATATCTCAAATGACTAAAAAAAAAAGGGGGGGCACCCATATTGTTTTTACAATTGTTTTCCTCAGAAGTGGAGCTTGAACTGAAGGCTTTGCTCTCCTGGCTTGGCCTTTTTTTTCCCCCTCTCAAGCCTAGTGCTCTATCATTTGGGCCATACCTCTATTTTTTTGTTCTTACAGTTTTTTGTTGTTGTTGTTGGTCATGGGGCCTGAACTCTGGGCCTGGGCGCTGTCCCTCAGCTCTTTAGCTCAAGGCTAGCACTCTATCATTTGAGCCTTAGAGCCACTTCTGGCTTTTTTCTTTTTGCTTATGTGGTGCTGAGGAATCGAACCCACGACCTACAGGCATGCAAGGCAAGCACTCTACCACTGAGCCACCTTCCCAGCCCCTGTTCTTACAATTTTTAAAAATAAAAACCTATAGGTGCCTGTGAGCTGCCTCTAATGACTGGTCCATGTGGTTTCTCATGTGCTTTAGTTTGCATTGAAACCTGGGCATTTGCCTTTCTTCCTATCTACTGAAAAGGACCACCACAACAAAAACTCTTTCTTAATTCAAAACTTAATTCAAGGACTACAGTCTGCCAAAGAGCTATGGCCTAGTGATTGGTGCCTCACACTCAGCTAAACAATTAACTCATGCTAACTATCTGAACTTCTGAGTGTTACAGGTAAATCTTCACCTGCCTTCACAGCATTTCCTGAGACAACATGTCAGTCCTGGATACTTACTGTGATTTTGTGGACCACCTGCGTCATTGCTCTGCTCTTTCTAAACACAATGCTCTGAGAGCAGATTCTGACCTACCACCTACTGTTGGTCATTCCTCAAACACCTTCTAGTTCGATCTGCCCTTCCTGTTACCATGCCAACCCTCAAAACTCAAGAAGGGGGTGGTGAGGAGCATGAACATGCCACAGCCTGACCCAAGTGAATGGGACTCAATATTACCAGAAGGGCAGCAATAAGTCTAAATTGTACATAGGTGAGTGAGTGGGGGTTCTGTATCATGGCAGGTCATGCAGGACTATGTTTTAAATGACAGTGAACATTCTATAAGGCTAATTTCACATGCTTCCAATGTTTTTCTTATTTCCAGGTCACTAGAATTTTTCCTCGTCTTACAAGTTGAGGGACCCTGTTTCTTCTCCCTTCCATCCCATACCTGATCTCTATATTGTGCCTACAGATCTCCAAATCCAGAGTGGATTTTAAATGATGTAAGCCAAAGTGTCACAGGCTCCCAAATTTCCGTCTGACACTGAAATCCGCTTGGACCTTCCTTATGTGATTCACTTTCCCTGCCCCCAGAAGAATATAAAATACCTTTCCTCAATTCAAAACAACAACAACAAATACTCTTCCTTAATTCCAAACAAAAATAAAACTTCAGGAAGTTTGACTTGCTAGATTCCATTATCTAATATCCAGTCCATATTTTTCCCATTTGCCTCAATAATGCCATCAAGATAACGGTAACTTCTTTAATTGAGAACAACTTAGCTTTTGTTTTTTTCCCCTCATTTAATGTTTCTTTTTTATTGTTTTTTTTTAATTTTTATTGTAAAGGTGATGTACAGAGAGGTTAGAGTTATATAAGTCAGGTAATGAGTATGTTTCTTTTTTCTTTTTCTTTTTTTCTTTTGTCGGTCGTGGGGCTTGAACTCTGGGCCTGGGCGCTGTCCCTCAGCTCTTCAGCTCAAGGCGTGCGCTCTACCACTTGAGTCACAGCGCCACTTCCGGCTTTTTCTGCTTATGTGGTGCTGAGGAATCGAACCCAGGGCCTCATGCATGCAAGGCAAGTGCTCTACCACTGAACCACCTTCCCAGCCCCAAGTACGTTTCTTTTTAAACAGTATCACCTTTTCTCTCATTTTCTTCCAGGTTTTCCCTCCCAGCTCCCCTCCCCCACAGATTGTATAGTTCATTTTCAACAGTGTCTAGAGAGTATCACTGCTGCATTTGTTCACCCTTTGTCCCACCATTTCTGTGCTCCTCCTTATCATCCCCAAAACAGATAAACTTACATACATTCAAGACAAGATACAGAAATAAAAAACAATGACAAAGGAGAGGAAAAAGAATTTCAAAATAATGTAAAACTTCGTTTCCATTTCTTGGAGTTTATTTTGATAAACATTATTTTATATGACCATATGCCTGTAGCTATTGAACCTTTGTGGTCCTCTCCTAAGAATATGCTCCTTTACTCTCACTGTGTGAATGTCTAGAGTCCTGTATAAATTATCATGTCCAAGTTCATTTTTTCTGTCTTTTACCATCTAGTGTGTTTACTTGTAGATTTATAGGCACTTTCTAGTTACAACAAATAGGGAAACCATGAACTATATGTTTCTTTGGGGTTGGCTTACTTCGCTTAATGTAATTTTTTCCAAGTCTTTCCATTTCCTTATGAATTGTACAATATCATTTTTTTCTTATGGAAGCATAGAATGACACTGTATGTGTGTGTGTGTATATATATATATATATATATATATATATCACATTTTCTTGATCCATTCATCTGCTGAGGGGCATCTGGGTTGATTGCATATCTTGGCTATGGTAAACAATGCTGCAATGAACATATTTGTGCTGGTAGCTTTAGTGTGGCTTAGTTTGTGTTCTATGGGATAAATGCCCAGGAGTGGAATTGCTGGGTCAAAGGGAAGCTCTATGCTTAGTCTATGTTTAGTCCATACTGCACTCCAGCATAGTTGAACAAGTTTACATTCCCACTAATAGTGTAGTAGAATTCCCTTTTGGCCACAACCCTGGCAGCATCTGTAATTGTTTGTTTTCTTGATAATAGCCATTTTGCCTGTTGTTTTGATTTGCCTTTCTTTTATGGCCAGAGATGTTGAACATTTCTTCATTTGTCTATTTGTTGTAAGGTAAATCATCCCAGAAGCCACATTTTAAAATACACAATATTGGAGTCTTTATTATACAGTTAACAGGCTGTAGGCGCCAGTTGTTACAAAGGCCTGCAGCACGCAAATACACATAACACAGCTAGGAAACATCCTAAAGAGGAAAGGAATAACAAAAACAATACCAACAAGCCAGTTCAGCTCCAATGGAGAGCTGAACTGGGAAGCCATGATGACTAGAGATGAGCCAGGATACAATGCACAACCATAGAGACACACGTGGAATGGCCCTCAGCGGCTAGGCTGGTCAGGGCCTAAATAGGTTGGCGCAGGGGGCAGATCCTCAGGAAATTCCCAGTCCCAGCTATGCGACTGACATTTTCAGTAACTAATCAGCCAAGTGCCTGCCCCTGCCTCCAGGGGTCCGGGCATGCCCATTACCTGGAAGGCAAGTGATGGGGTGGGGGGTGGGTTCCTTCTCCCAGCATGAAGACAAGATGCCAGACCCTACCATCCACCATGTGGCCAATACGGCACCGGCCAGACCTGGCCTCCTTACTTCATATTGACCATTCTTACTTCCTCAGCTTAGAAGTCTTTAACAATCTTGATTTTCAAGTGTAGTCTTTTTTTTTTTTTTGAGTTCAAATGCACTTTATTTTTAGACAACCTACCTGACATTCTTTTTTTCTTAAAAAACAATGTCTCCACTCCAAATAAACCATGGTCAAAAGAAATGAAGAGTTCCAGATGACACCAGTCCCATTTGTCTTAAGTCCTGGTGTTGTGTGGATGACAAGCAGCAGCCAGTTATGGTAACAGGTGATAGATCCAAAATAATTGCCCAATTTGTTAACGTTTTTTCATTTCTAAAACATCCTTAAAGAAAATCATAAATGGGGTCACACCATCCTCATGGTAGTCCAGGAGAGCAACCATGCCATCTGGATTCATGTTTTCACCAATAAAAACCTGGTAGTTATTGAAATTAGCAAGGATGTGCTTGATTTGCTCTGCAGCTCCTGTCATAAAAGGCTTTACTCTTCCAGATTTCTGTTCTTTAAGTTTGCCTTTAAGTGATTTCATGTAATCTTTGATGTGCTTTTGGTAGGCTTCCTTTGTGAAACTGGTCTCCTGCAAGTGATGGTTCATGACGAAGTCCACACCAGTGACTACTGTGCGTTTGGTACTTCGCCCTCGGGGCCTTCGGCGGAGGCATTTCCACCAATGAGCGAGTCATCAATGTTAGCCTCTGTCCTACTGACCTCCACCTCCAGGCACAGCCCGCCGGCGATCTCCGGGATCTTGTGGATGTCGGAGAACAGCTCATCGTGGCTGATGAGGTCCGGGTAGATGATCATGATAGCGGCGCTGGCTTCAGCGCGAGCTCAGAGTGAGCGCAGAGCTGGGGGAGAGGGGGAGCCGTCGGAAGAGCTCAAGTGTAGTCTTGCAGAATGTTTCTTAGTGTGGGTGTGTTTCATATTGAACGTTTTTAGGGGGCAGGTGGAGTACTGGTGTTTCAACTCAGGGCCTCATGTTTGCTAAATGAACGTTCTACCACTTGGGCCATGCCCTCAGTTCTTTGCCTTAGTTATTTTTCACGTAGTGTCTTGAGATTACAGGTATGCACCACCAATGTCCAGCTTGTATCATACGTATTTTAGTGAGAATAGCCCAGAAATTATATTCCACTTTCTGGTACATTACCTCCAGGGGAAACTCATACTAACAATCAGTTTGTCACCACTATGGGTGATGTTAACTATTATCTGATGTTTTAAACATTGTTTTAAAAGCAGAGTAAGAACTGGGAGAACAAAGCTAATCAAAATGGCTGGGTGTTGGTGGCTTATGTTTATTATCCTACTTAGGAGACTGAGATCTGAGGATCATAGTTTGAACCCAGCCCAAACAGGGAAGTCCATGAGACTTTTTTTTTTTAAAGTCGGTCATTAGGCTTGAACTCAGGGCCTGACTGATGTCCTTGAGACTTTTCACTTAAGGCTAGCACTCTACCACTTTCAGCCACTGGTTACTTACAGCCCACTCTGGTTTGGTGGTGGTTAATTAGAGGTAAGAGTCTCATGGCTTTCCTGCCTGGGCTGCCTTTGAGCCATGATCTTCAGATCTCAGCCTCCTAAGTAGGATAATAAACATAAGACACCAACACCCAGCCATTTTAAGTAACTAGGATTACAGATATGAGCCACTGGAGCCCATCTCAAGAGACTCATCTCCAATTAGCCACCAAAAAACCAGAAGTGGAGCTGTGGCTCAAAGTGGTAGAGTAATAAATTTGAGGAAAAAAGCTCTGGGACACAACCCAGACCCTGAATTCAAGCTGCATGACTGGAAGAAAGGACAAGAAAGAAAGAAAAAAACCAACCAAAATTCTAGAACCCAGTTAAAGGGAAGGATTTCTTTTTTCTTTTGGGGGGGGGTCCGGTCGTGGGGTCTGAACTCTGAACCTGAGTGCTGTCCCTCAGCTCTTCAGCTCAAGGCTAGCACTCTACCACTTGAGCCACAGCACCACTTCCAGCTTTTTTCTTTTTGCTTATGTGGTGCTGAGGAATCGAACCCAGGGCCTCAGGCATGCAAGGCAAGTGCTCTACCACTGAGCCACCTTCCCAGCCCCAAAGGGAAGGATTTCTTAGACCAATGCTATATATTATCTGAAGATATTTTGGTGGGGGAGGGGTTGTCCTTTAATGTATATCTTCTAATTTTTAACTACTTTTAGGAAATATAAGCATTTTCATTGCTGTGATGAGATGTATTTAAAGGAAGATGATTTGCAACATTTCCTGAATAGGCCCTGACAGGCTAGTTTGGGAGAAGCATATGGGAAAGCTAATGCATACCTTACCTTTGAGTAGGCAAGTATTAGGGTGCACAGAATCCAGGGACTTCTCAAAGCCAGAAGTAGACCAGAAGATCGGAGGGGCCTGACCTCCCTGATCACCTTTTCCTACTTCACACCCTGTATCTTTATCAACAACTTTACTAACATCTTTACTAACAAGTGGTTCCTGTATGCTGCTTCATACTTCTGGCCTTTGCTTTCCCAAAGTGGTCCAAATGGATGAGAAAGAAAGAGAATGAGGTGTACCCAGCTCCTGCTTTAATTTGTCTGTTTTCATGACAAAGAGATGGTGAATGATTTACTGTGTAATCAGGAACTAAAGATCTACAGAAGTAGGTGTTTAAAAAAAACAAAAGGAATGAGGCACAAGAAAGTGAAGCACAAGGGAGAGATGCACAGAGAATGAGACATCCGCACTCAAAAGTTCCTTCCCAAAGAGAAATTCTTCACATTTTTAGTGCCTGATCCTTTCCCACTGGGACTTGTCACCTGGGAAGCTGTTCTTGCAGGCAGATAGGTCTTTCTCTTGGGGATTACTAATGATAATTCAACAACAACAACAGAAAGATTTGAAATTAAATGTGGCTATTTAATTACTAAAGATGATTGTGTCAAGAATAGTGTTCTGTCATACTACACCACCTATAAAATGATACTGAAATATAATGTTTTTGAAAATCAGACAGACCTGTAGTATTAATAATACAACATATTGTCATATTTCTAGAGGATAATTAGATAATGTGCTGTAGCAAAGGGGTAGTTTTGCCAATTTAAGTGTCAAATCCTGATCACTGGTGTCCATTAGTCATGTATTCTGTACATAGCATTTCCAAGGACAGATGATAGAGACATGCAGACCAAAAGAGATAAAACATGACCAAGGAACATGGCAAAGATGGAGAAGAAGAGGACATGTAAGTATGCCTGTGAAGCTGACTAATAAATGATGCTCAGTCTAAAGCCTGTTAGTTTTAATTTCTGCTGTTTTTTATTGCTAGGAATCATCTGAGTTGTAATATTCTCACTCACCACCAGAGGGCCTTTAATTCATTGTGGTGCACGCAAAGCCAGCCCAGCCTGACCTAAGCTAAGCACCCAGCCTTGAGCATTGATAATCAGTCCTATCCTGAGTATTTGTTCTCCTGACAGGACTGACCTATTTCAGTGCCCATCTGGTCCTCCTTGTTGTGTTGGAATGCCTACCAGATGGACAGACTCTCCTCTGGGAAATGAACCAACCATTCACACAAAACCTAATGAACACTTCATTCTTTCAAATTCATTTTCTACCTTTCATAATGTGTCTGCATAGATTGTATATAATTTTAGCAAGTATTTGTCTGTAATTTGGAATTCTGCTTTTAATGAATGTCATTTTAGCCAACCAAACAAACAAACCAACGAATTCTAATGAATTCAGATGCTCCAAATATTAGTTTCCATTCTCCTCCTCTAGGAGCTTCCTAGGTCAGCCAGACCTGATCTTATACATGGCTTGTTCTGATGTACAATTATTGTCAGATAAAAGGATTTAGGATCCAGCACTTCATATTTTCAATTACTTATGTGGCTCCTTTTAGAAATGTAATTGTGGTGATGGCCATGTAGCTCATCCTGTCATTACTTTGGTCCAAGTGTAAGGGTATCTTTATAATAAAACTTTCATTAAAGTACAACATACATGCCCAAAATCATACAAATAAAGTTATTTTCTTGTGCCTCTCATCATATAAAATATTTATTGAAATGAAGAAAAAAAAGTTTATCTCCATGTGGATCAAGACGAGAGCATTGCTGGTTGTGAGGTCTTGCTTATTACTGCTTCTCTGTTACTTCCCAGATCTGCCCTTACTTCCATCAGCTTGGATTAGCTTTGCCCCCTTTGAACTTTATATGAATGAAATCATGCTGGGTATACTGCTGTTTCCTGGCTTCTGTGCAACACTGTGTTGTGGCATGTGGCAATAGTAGGCTTTGCTCATTCTCGCAAGCTACATGATGCTTCTCTCCCAATCTACCATTGCTGGGATTTTGGGTTCTTTCCAGTTTTTGACTATAAATAGTACTTCTATGAATATTCTTGTAAAAGTCTCTTGTGAATACACATTTGCATTTCTATTGCATATGTACCTTAGTCATTGGGTATGCATGTGCTCAGATTTGAAAGAAATTGCAAAAGGTTTTCCAAGGTCATTATATCAACAGATATAGATTTTTCTTCTGCTTCATGAAAATAGGTGCAGTGAAAACTACGTTGCTCAAGACTAAATGCTGTACAGGAAAGTTAAAAGATTACTTTAGCTGGGTGCCAGTGGCTCATGCCTGTAATCCTAACTACTAAGAAGGTTGAGATCTGAAGATTTTGGTCAAAGCCAACCTGTCAGGAAAGTCTGTGAGACGTTTAGCTCCAATTAACCACCAAAAAGAAAAAGAAAAAAGAAAAAAAAAAGCCAGTAGTGGAGCTGTGGTTCAAGTGGTAAAGTGCTAGCCTTGAACAGAACTCAGGGCTCAAGCCCTGATTTCAAGCCTCAAGTTCAAGCCCCGGGACCAACACAAAAACAAAATGTAAGGGTCTTGCTCATTTGTTCATGAGTGGTTAAATTGGTTTTTGGCCACTAGAGTAGTCTCCCTTTAATATTATACTTTGCTTCTACTCATTCATGTCCAGCTGTTAGGAAGTTAAACTTAGGCTTAGAATTGAACCTCTTTCCTTCCTCACTACCAAAATTACAACATTTTCATAGGTTTGACGGACACCTCACATGCAATCCTAACCAGCCAGTTACAACAACAACAACAAGATTAGCATTGTCAACTAAATGATTATTTCCTATAACAGGAAGCCATGCTATCAAGCAATGGTTAGGTCCCCAGATGTGGGGAGTTAAGGAGTTTATTAATTCCATCTTCTTGTTACCCTTACCTGGTCTTTAAGAAGCCAGTATTGGTCTCCAGGCCACAGAGAAATGCTGGAATTGGTAGGAAACTGACCTAGGTATCTGTACTTCCTTGTTCTCCTCATACTAAACTTGATCTTGAAGATTAGCTTTCGAGTTCTAAGGTTCTAGAAGGCAGCTTCTGAAAGGGCTCTGCCCACTTACTCATTAGACAGCATTTTTAGAATATAGGACTCTTCATTCAAGTGAGTATAAAATATATCTCATTATGTAAACATTACATTTCACTTGGTATGTAGAATGTATCTGCTAACAAGAAGCTTCTACTTTACCTTTCTTGCTTACAAAAAAGCTCACAGGGGCTGGGAAGGTAGCTCAGTGGTAGAGTGCTTGCCTTGCATGCATGAGGCCATGGGTTCGATTCCTCAGTACCACATAAGCAGAAAAAAGCTGGAAGTGGCACTGTGGCTCAAGTAGTAGAGTGCTAGCCTTGAGCTGAAGAGCTAAGGGACAGTGCCTAGGCCCAGAGTTTAGGCCATGACCGACAAAAAAAAAAAAGAAAGAAAGAAAGAAAGAAAAAGAAAGCTTACAACACACCAAT